GCTCTTCCTACTGATGTCAATTTTCAGGAGTTTCCATGCAAACAAATATTCTCCGTGCATGTTTCTTTGAACTGAAAATATAGCCCTTTTCTGCTTCTAAAGGACTACATTTAAATGTTGTTTTATGAGCTAATTCCATCGTTCATTTTAATAGCTCTCAATTAAAGCTTTGCTGTGACCACCCATGGGAAATGCTTCTCTTAACCTTCCCTTTGCATCACTGCAGTGAGGGAATTCATAGTGAACCTGATAGTTCTTCACACACTGCTGAGTGTTTGGAGTTTGTTTGTGTTAGACTAGAAATGGATTAGCAGGTCAGAAAAAGCTTATGTTAAAATATTTGCTGGTTTGGATATTTAATAGCCTAAACATAAACATTTACCCACAGATCTGGAAGTCTGAAGTATAAAAATAGAGCAGCAGCACTGGTAAACTAAATCCTGTGATCCAAATATTTGTTCCAGTCAGTAGTTGAAACGTACTGGAAAGTGACAATAAATCAGTTGCAATTTTCTTCTCAAGCTTTGTGTACAAAGTTAGAAACATAAAGTAAAGCTGATGTAGTATTTAGTATTTTAGCTGTTCCATCATTCCTGTTAATCACTGTTGGGTTTAAGTATCTCAGTGCTGGGCCAGGAGTGTTGAAAGTCTTTCCAGATAGATCAGAGAATCATAGAATTTAGGGGTTGGAATGGACCTTAGAGATCATCTAGTCCCAACCCCCTGCTCTGGGCAGGGACACCTCCTCACTACATCAGGTTGCTCAAGGCTCATCCAGCCTGGATTGAACACTGTCAGGGTTGGGGCAGCCACCACATCCCTGGGCAACCTGTGCCAGTGTCTCTCCACCCTTAGTAAAAACCTTTTTTCGAATATCTAACCTAAACTTCCTCTCCTTCAGTTTGAACCCATTACCCCTTGTCCTGTCACTGCAGTTCCTAACACAGAGTTCCTCTCTGGCTCCTTGTAGACCCTTCAGATATTGAAAAGTTGCTCTGAGGTCTCCACACAGTCTTCCCTTCTCCAGGCTGAACAGCCCCAACTTCCTCAGCCTGTCTTCATAGAGAGATGCTTCAACCTTCTTACCAACTTGGTGGTCTCCTCTGGACTTGCTCCAACAGTTCCATGTCCTTCTGATGTTGAGGACACCAGAACTGTGTGCAGTATTCCAGGTGGGGTCTCATCAGATGAATGATCTGTGAACTGTCTCAACAGCAAGTGAACACTCAGGGGTGATGGTTTTATACCAAGAACAGGAAAATAAGAGAGACAGAAATCTTTACTTTAGCCAGAAGTCTTCCAATAGTCAATTTGGGCTCATGATGAGATTAAAAGAGCTGCAAAACACAGTTCCAGCAAAAATTGTTACTTGACTTTTTTGAAGTCTAAATGAAACATGCAATAAAAAATAGGTTAAACTCATAAACCCTAAACTTTAGAATGCAAATTCCTCCTAGTTATATGTTGGAGAGGGCAGCAGTGAGCACTTTCTTCTCTTTGGTAATAAGATATTTTTATGGTAATTACACTGAAGGTTATTTTTTCCTCCTAGACAGGTTTGCATAATGTGTTTGGAAGAGGCTGATTAAGCAAACACCATTAGCCTTGGACTGGGAAAACTTCATTCTTTCCTTCCTTTCTCCCCCTGTTTTCAGAATGCTACTTACAATGGAATTTAATGCAAATGTGTGTGAAATGGATTTGCAATGTGTGCAAAACACTTCTTTTATGGTTGGTACAAAGTGAGGTGTCACCAACTCTGTGAGCTCTGAGAAAATGTTTCTGTGCTTAGCACTATGTCAAAAGTTATCTTAAAGGTAAATAATAAGGATTGAACAGGATGAGGGTTATCCTTCTACATAAAAAAATGGAAGTGGATAAATAAATGTATTTTGGGGTTGGTTTTCTTATATATGATTGTTCTAGAATTGTAATTCATAGTATAACTCTTTCCTCATGGGTCCAAGGAGTTTGTTTTGTGCCTACCAGAATCACTAATGCTAAACTGAAGCAGGAAAATAGAATTCCAGATGTAGGAGCCTGAAGTGGAGCACAAAGGGAAACCCAAACCCAGACTATTTATATTAGCTAATAACCTGCAGCCTGTTTGGCTTGCTTGTTTGCTTTAAACATGACTCTTTTTTAATAAAAGCCATTACAGGATTTTTCTTCTAACTTCTCTGAAATGTCCAGCCATTAATTTAATTCCATTAAAGATGGAATTGCATTGGAGAAAATACTTGAAGGTGCTTAGAATAAATAACTTCATAAAGAGAGGACAAACCTCTCTAGTGTGGATACCTCCTGTCAAGAAAGTCAAGCAAAACACAAGAAAAAACATGTTGAAGTGGGGTTTTTTCCCCCTCCCTTTTTGTTCTTTATGTCTGTTCATTCTTCAAAGACTCATTAGCAAGGAAAGTATAGAACACAGTCTGACACTTAGATTTCTTCTGGATTTCTTCCTCCCCTTCCAGCCTGTGATGATGTGTGTGGTCACGAGCAGGGAATATGTTGGTGCCTGTCAATCACAGCTCACAGAGGATGTGAGTGACACCCAGGAATCAACAAATCATGGATGAGTTGCTATGCCTGTAAATTATAAATCTTTAACGCACAAAAAAGCAGCTTAGCATTTCTTGCTTGAAAAAAAATCTGTGATTCCAGGGGTTCTGTAGCAGAGACTGAGCTCATCCTGGTAAAGTGTTGTCCCGATTTGTACTGTCAGTTTTTGATGGGTTTTTCATGTGCTGTGGATTTGCTTTAATCACAAATATTTATAGATATATTTACTGTATGTATATTTACTGCATTATATATATTTATATATACTGTTAAGCAGCTTTATGCTTTAGGCTTATCATTTACTATTCACATTTCTAGTGACATGGGATATTAATTTTTTCCTTATTTCTTTATGTAAATGATCATCGAGAACTGATTCCCCTATCTCTAGTGTGTTTGCAGAACTCTCACCCTGCTGGATTTTTATCCTCATGGAGCAGCTTGGCCAACTTGACTACATTTCTTCCACTGTGTATTCTCTTTGCAGGAGGCTGAGGAAGAGGAGCTCGAGTCAAGTGAGGATTTCTTGGTGGTTGCGTGAGGGATTACAAAGCTGCATCACATGTGTTTCCTCCTAAGTCGTCTTTATCCGTCTGCCCCTAATCTGATTTTAAGTCTGGGCTCGTAGGCATGGATGAAGGTGTAGATTTGGACCTGGGTTTGGCATCAGTCTGGGCAGGCAGGGCTCCCACCTTGCTGGGAGACACAGCTTATTAACCCTGTGTGTTTATTCTAACAGTTCCATCTCACTTTTCTGTCCTGGGTAATTCCTCTCTGCTTTTTACCAAGTGTATATAACCCAATCTGGCTCAAATTTTGATCTCCTTGGTTTCTTTTGAGTTTACATAACCTATGACTAGAGAGCACAGAATAGTTTGGGTTGGAATGGATGTTAAAGCTCATTTTGTTCCACTCCCTGCCATGGGCAAGGACAACTCCCACCAGCCCAGGTTGCTCCAAGCCTCATCCAGTCTGGCCTTGAGCACTTCCAGGGATGAGATATCCACAGCAGCTCTGGGCAACCTGTCATTCAAGACACTGTGATATTTTTTTAGCTTGTTTTCCACAGTGTTTAGAGGTTCCTGCTCTAGGTCCCTTTTGTTTTAGGTTGCATCACTTGAAATAAAACTAATTTTATTTTACAAGCAGCACCTTTGTGGAAAAGCATAAGGAGAAGATTGTTCCTGAGAAGCTACTGGAATGGCTTAGTTTAATTCATGGTAGGAATCAGATATTATCCTAATGTGAGGGCTGATTCAGCATCATAACAAACCCATTGGATGCAGCTGGAACAGCAGAGATGATCTCTGGATTTGGCTAACTGCAACAATTATTGTTCTCTTTTTATTTTATTAGCATTTTTTCTAAATCTTCATTTAATGGTTGAATAATTCATGTTACTGTTCAGCTCATGTGGTGAAAAATAGAGGCCCAAATGGGAATAATTTCTAGCCAAGTAAAAATTCTATTAAATTGTTTTGTTCCTTTTTATTAAAAAAAGCAGAGTTTAAAATTATTTTTTTTAAATACAGTAAAACTTAGATGTCTTTCACTGAAGTATATTTGTTGCTTTGGTTTAGTCTGTCAGCAGCTCATCCTCTATCTCCTAATACTTGCAGAATTTTCAGTTCATGTTCTTGTTTACCAAACCCCAGAACTGCTTTCAAGGGGACTATAAATGTTTTAATATGTAGATTTTTTATTCTGAGTCATCTGTGGTGGCTGATGTTGCCATCATAGGCTCCAAGCAATAAGTTAGATTGTTGTGTGCTGTGAGTTTTGTGCTCCTTTGCAAGCAGCTTTTGTGGAAAAAAAAAAAGAAAAAAAAGGGGAGGAAAAAGTCAATAATTGGTTTTCCTCTCCTAGTCGTTTGTTTCTGGAAGATGCAGAAGATGAGTGGCTTTATAAAGTGGTGTTGACAAGTTAACAAGATTAGCTTTAAATAGTAAAAGTTATGACTTTTTTTATATCTGTCTGTAGAAAATGATCCCCGTGAAGCTACATATCCTGCGGGCAAGTTCTGGAAGAAGATGATTCTTATTCCCATGGACACAGTCTCAGCTGACATAGATCAGATAGGGATGTGATGGTTAGGACTGGATTTTGACAAAATAATAATAATAATAATAATAATAACAACAATAACAATAATAATAATAACAACAACAATTATTATTAGGTTGCCACGTGGTTCACATTAGTGCTATGGGTTTGGATCCAGGATTGCTCAGGTAGGCAGGAGACACTGTATCCAGCTCCATAAAGGCAGAGTACAGAGTGGTGAGCTGGATGTCAGGGACGTTGCCATGGGGAGTTCCGTTCGGGATGGGGACGGTGCTGCTGTTCTCTAGTTGGCAGTGAGAGGGGAAACACTGGGAAGACATTGGGGATGATGAAATGAGGACGAGAGGATCCACAGCAAGGCTGTCATCTTTCAGCTCCTCCCAAAGATTCCCTAGGGCAAAGAAAAACACATTGGGTAAGGGATTGATTCAGCTTTCTTTCTCTTTTCTGTCTAGATATCCTACTTTATATTTGCTTCTTTAAACATTGTGTTTAAGGAGAAGCTGTTAATTGTGCAGTTGTGCTCTATGTGTAGGTGCTCTTAATTCCTTGGGATTGAGTAAGGAAAAACGTTGTTTAGACCATTATTATTTGTCTGTCTCCATAATAAATTTAAACGTGGGAGAAAACAGCATAAATGTAAGAAAACGATTGCACTTGATAATTGGGAGGATTCTGTAAATGAATCCTTATGAAACATAACTTCTATTTGAAAAGCCACAATTAATTTTGAAAGAGGAAAGTGCCTCTGTTATCTTTGTAAGATATGGAAGATATTGGGTCATACTTTTTTGGCTGAATCATGGAATCAACCAGGTTAGAAGAGACCTCCAAGATCATCAAGCCCAGCCCTCCCGTGGTCACTAGCCCATGGCACTAAGTGCCACATCCAGTCTCAGCTTGAAAACCTCCAGGGATGGTGAATCCACCACCTCCCTGGGCAGCACATTCCAATGCCTGATCACTCTCTCCCTAAAAAAATCTCTTCCTTATATTCAAGCTAAATCTCCCCTGGCAGAGCTAGAGTCTGTGCCCTCTTGTCCTGCTGCTGGTTGCCTGGGAGAAGAGACCAACCCCCACCTGACTCCAACCTCCTGTCAGGGAGTTGCAGAGGGTGAGAAGGTCTCCCCTGAGCCTCCTCTTCTCCAGGCTGAACACCCCCAACTCCCTCAGCCTCTCCTCATGGCACTTGTGCTCCAGTCCCTTCACCAGCCTCGTTGCTCTTCTCTGGACCTGCTCCAGCCCCTCAATGTCCCTCCTGAACTGAGGGCCCAGAACTGAACACCTATGTATAATGATTTCACTCCAAGTACGCTAGGCCTTATCTCAAGTTTTAGGACCTCTGATTTAAGCTTTGATAATTTTCTCAAGAAAGAAAGCAAAAAGCTTAGCTAAGGTTATAAAAAATCTAAGCTAAAAGGCAAGGCCAGAGGGAATTTGGGGCTGTACCATCTTGATGAAGCACAGAATATTCACAGTACCAGAGCATGTGCTCCACCATAATGGAATAAAATGGGAAAGTGTTCAGAGAAATGAGTGGAATGTGATGCTAATCTCAGCAGAGCAATCTGGGCAGGGCAGGGCTGGGGAATATTTGTGACACTGGGATGGCACAGCCCTGGCATTGGCTGAGTCACAGATTTTATTAAAACTGAATTATTTGCTCTTTCAGGTTGATTTGTGTAAGAATTTTTTGTCTGTGCAGGAAAGCAATTCTGGCATGTTATTTGTTACAGGAGGAGCTTTATCATTTGGAACCCACAGGATTTATATGTGCATAGGTACAACTTTTTATATACAAATTTGATATTTATTTATACATTTTATATATCATTTTAATATGTGTGTATATATATCAATACATGGTGGGTTTTTCCCTTATTTTTTTCATGAACAGCTGTTTTATTAATGTGCAAAGTCCCTTCCAGTCAAGATGATTAAATTATTTAATACATCAGAAAATTACTGTCAGCATTGCATGATGAAGTGTAAAAACACACCTCAGAAAATGTAATTGTTCAGGGTATAGATCAAATAAATGGCTTCGGAAGGGGAAAAGAGCATCTTTTAAGATGAGATGTGGAAGATGTTGGAATCAATATTGGTCAAGAAAAATATTAACATGTAAATCCAATCAAATTTATTTCTCTTTGTGCCTTTCACATGACAATTCTCTTGTAAGAGTTGCACTAAAGAGTTGTGCTTGAGGAGTTTTCAGTGGAAAACATGTCTGAGATTTAAAAAACACATTCTAAATGGTGTATTGCTGTATTTGATATCAGCAGTCATAGCCAAGAGGAAGCAGGAATTGGTTTTTATACCACACATTGAGTGAGGCCACACCTTGAATGGAGCAGGCCCAGAGAAGAGCAATGAGGCTGGTGAAGGGACTGGAGCACAAGTGCCATGAGGAGAGGCTGAGGGAGCTGGGAGTGTTCAGCCTGGAGAAGAGGAGGCTCAGGGGAGACCTTCTCACCCTCTGCAACTCCCTGACAGGAGGATGGAGTCAGGTGGGGGTTGGTCTCTTCTCCCCGGCAACCAGCAGCAGGACAAGAGGGCACAGACTCAGCTCTGCCAGGGGAGGGTTAAGTTGGATATTAGGAAACGATTTTTTAGGGAGAGAGTGATCAGACATTGGAATGTGCTGGCCAGGGAGGTGGTGGATTCACCATCCCTGGAGGTTTTTAAGATGAGACTGGATGTGGCACTTAGTGCCATGGTCTAGTAACCACAGTAGGGTTGGACTTGGTGATCTTGGAGGTCTTTTCCAACCCAATTGATTCTCTGATTCTAAACTCTGGATGTAAATTTGTAGCTTTCTTAGGAAACTTTTTAAAGGCTTAATGCAAAATTCCATGTTTTGTGAACAACATAACCCAATAAAGTGACATCTTTGTAGTGATGGCAAGAAGTTGTTAAAAAGGATGTAAATGCATCTCATGTGGGTTGGGTTGGGATGGGATGGGATGTAAGAAACCTGACTCTAGGAGATAAAAATCCCTTAGATACTTACCTTGGAGATCAAAATCAGTCAGGGATGGATTAAGAGCATCGATGTCATTGCTGAGGTCTCCCTCCTGCATGAGCGTGTCCTGCACCGTCCTGTCTGTGGAATGCTCCGGCAGCATCTTCACCGCACAGTTCGGGGGGGTCTGTGCGGGCAGTGGGGAATCCTGTGCGATGCTGGGCTGAGTTCGGAGCTCGCTTTGAGCCTCCCCAGAAGCAAACAGGCTCTGAGGGTCTTGTGCCTGCTGCATTAATGCGTTTGAGAGTTGGGGGTACCCCTGTGGGGATGGATAGCATGAAGGTTGCTGCCCCCCCAGCAGATTGGGTAAGGAGTTCTTGACATGCAGAGCTCCCGAGGTGTGGATGCTGTGCAAGGGCTGTGAGATCCCGGAGGAGAGAGAGGGCTCGCACAAGGAATGGGACTGGGCTGCCATCTGCCTGGAAAGGGAGGCACCTGCAACGCCAGTCGGGCTGCAGGACAGCAGGGAAGATCTCAGCTTCTCGCCTTTGTCGCCTATCAGGGTGTCAAGTTCTTCTGAAAAACAAGAGAAAAGTCCATGACTGACTTATCCC